CTAAAATTGCAAGTTACTTATAAAGTTGATTTCAAAATAAAATTTTTAATGTGAGGAAATACTTGTGAATGTTGGTTTTATTAAAACATATAAAAATTAAATAACAAAAATTTAGAGTTACTTTAGAATTGATTTCAAAATAAAATCTTCAATATGATGAATTATTGATGAATGTTGTTTTTTTTAAAGCATATAAAAATTAGAAGGTAACTAGGTAGTCATTCAAAAATAATTTTAAAAAATAAAAAATCTCCTAAGATCTGAACCAAACCATACCGAACCGAACCGCCCCAATAGTCTCGAATACCGAACCGAACCGAACCGAAAAATAAAAATCTCCAAACCGAACCGAACCGACTTTTTGGTACGATTCCGGAGATCGAATTTTGGGATCTCCGAAGTTTGGTACGGTTCTGAAGATTTATCAATCTTCGAATCATACCATCTTCGAACCGTACCGACCCACGCTCACCCCTAAACACGTTGAAGGTCAAGTTGCCCAAGTTGACCCAATCTAATGGATTGAAATGAAGAATAAATTGGGACCATAGTCAAATTAAGACAAGTTCACAAAGCGGGTAGGGTCATGTTACACGGTTTTCTGCACCGAGTACATGCTGAGGAAAAACAAAACCTGTTTTCACGTTACTTCAACTTAATCATTCTTCTTATGTTCTTGGCAATTTTTTGGAACACATACAATACACTAACATAAACATTTTGAACTAGCTTAGGCTAAGCAGAGCAAAGAGATCAAATGTTCTCATTTCGGAAGGTCTCGAAAGACATATCGCTTTTCGACCGAACACAAAGAGATCATAAAAGTACAAATCAAGAATTTCTCAAACCTAAATGTATAGATATGCATATATACACAAACTAATTAATAAACAGAGAGCAAATCAAAGCTTCTTCAATTAACATATATTTATCCACACATGTTCTAGAGCAAGAAGAGAAGAGAGAAACCCAGAACAAAACACACTTGCAGCACACATGTTTTTCCACGAGCGGCGGCCGATGATGTGGGCCCCACACGACCGGCGCTTGCAGGTATCCTTCGAAGCCTCTGCTTGATCTGGACCACCATTTTATTATGGGAACCCATCACAAGCTGCGTATCGCCATCTGATGATAAGCTCGTGTGGATATCACTCGGAGATTCCGAGGTTTGAGATCGGTCGGCTGTGGTCGGGCATGGGAAATGGGATAAGAAGAAGAGTAATAACACGAGCAGCAAATAGATCAGATGCTTCATCTTTAACATGACGAAATGATGATGATGATAATAATTGGTAATTGAAAAGATGTAGAAATGTATGAATGAACCGATAGTCTTAAATCTCCCTTAATATATATAGTCTAGTAGCAGATGGAAATTATATAAAACTAGTTGCAAGAGTTTTAAAAATTTAATTAAAAAAATGTTGAATTTCTAACAAAATTGTGAAATTAGCTATTTATTTTATTTCAAAAGGTCAAATTTTATGGGTGTGGTATTGATCAACTAAGCCTAAATAACATGAATAATTTCGTCGTAATTTGACCAGCAAAATCCCAGTTACTTTTCAAGCCACCTGAGAACGTGTGCGAGGACATTGCTTGTTTCTCACAAGTTGAAACACGCATTGTTGGGATTAAGTTAATTAATCATTTCACATTAACATAGCTTTTATCAACATAATAGAATGATACACAACTAAAAATAATAGCACCATGTAATTTAAAAATAGAATGATACACAATTAAAATAGCATCAAATACGAATCTCACGGTTCTCACACTAGGACTACTTTTTATTTGAACCAGCCCCTATTAAAATATATGTTATGCATCATACTCATATATAACATAACCTCTAAAATAGATTGTGTTGTATTAAAAGATACATCCGCGTGTACAACTCTTGAGGTAAGACTCGATTAAAAATAACTAGTATCGTGGCCCGTGCAAATGCACGGAATTATTAAACATAAATGAAATAAGGAAACATAAATAGAATAAATAATTTTTATATGCAATTAAAATAGATTACTATATACAATGTTTATATTTGTATATTTTATTTCTCATTATATATCAGTATCTTGTGTCTTTTTATCTGTAACTCGAGAAACAACAATATAAAGTTCAGAATTAAAAGCCTAAAAGTAGATTCCTATATATTTTTTAATTTTTTTTATTAATAGAACAAATTTACATAGTATTAACGATTTTTTTTATATGGTTTTTTTTATATAGTTTTCCATGAATTTAACGAATTTCTTTCTAAAACCGTTATTTATTTATTTATTTATTTTATGAAATCTAACGATGTGGACCAAAATTTATTGATAAACGAAAAATTGAGTAACTAAATTGATTTAATTGGAACATCATGTACTAAATGCGCAAATATATATAGTTAAGATATAAAAAAATTCTCAAATTATTTTATTATCTTAACACATTTTATTACAGTTTGTTTGAATTTATCATGTAATTTAGATCGTATTTTGTTTTATTATCTTAACACATTTTATTACAGTTTGTTTGAATTTATCATGTAATTTAGATCGTATTTTGACACTTGAATATATTATTTCTTACTTTTCTGGTTTTATAATTTTTAATGTATCTTATTTATTAACTATTATTTTCTATACATATACTTACAATTCCTTTATCTGTGAACCATTCTTTTATTTAAATAAGTATCATATTATTATCTAGTATCTTCATATTTTTAGGAAGGCTTTAAATATAAATTATTATTTAACATATATCATAAATAATTCACCGTGATTCAACATATCATGTACATGTAAAAAGAAATTTACTTTTATATTAATGAGAAATAAAAAACAGACAAAACATTTTAAAATGTCTATTAACCTATTAACCTATTATAAAATGGTAATAACAAATTTAGGTCCACTTTTACTATTAACATATTATTAAAAATGAAAAAAAAAAATTAACGGAGGTTGAAGCACGTTTAATAAAATAAAAATAAAAAAATTGAAACTAACTTTCCATAAATAGTAATATAATGAGGGATCCACTAAAACACTTACTATTTTTAGTAAGTGGGTTGCCTAATTATATAGTAATAGTTAGATAGATAGATAGTCTTCTAAGTATGAAAATCTATATATATATAATTGCTGGCTAATAGCATTTAACAAAACATTTTATAAAACCTCATTTTGATTTCCCTCCAAAAACCGTTACAAACTTTAACATTTATATTTTTTCTCTCTCTTTCTCTCTCTATATTTAATTACTAATAATAAATTTAATAATATTGATTATTGTTTACCATCTTTTTATGTTGCAATCTATATATATAATTGTTGGCAGATGCATTAAATAAAACATTTAATAAAACCTTCATAAGTTTCCCGCTTATTTTTTCAATTAATGTAAAAACGTTACATTTTACATTAATAAAGTGTAATAACAATTCTAAACTGATTTATTATATAATATTACCACTAACACTAAATGATTATAATTTTACATTAAATAGATGTGGAAGTTACATACTTATAAGAAATTGTATTGCAATTTTTTGTTCTTTAAAATATTTTTTTCTAAAATAAAATAATTATTGTCTTTTATCTAATATTAATTAATTGGCATGAGTGTCATAGTTAAACACCTTAAAGTCATTTAGACAACTGCTATAACAGTGATAAAAATATTTGTAACACTTTTCTAACTAATTAAATGTATGGTCCATCTAGATTACTAAATTATATTGTCCATTAAAATTTATGGCATCAATATAAATATTCATACGTAAGTTAAATAATTTATATTTACATGACACATTTTCATATAGTCAAAATTTAAAATGTAATACATCTATTATTTAATATAAAATTTTATATATTGTATGCATACATATAATATATAAATTTTTGTTGTGCATGTGCACAGGATAAATACTAGTACAAACTAAAAAAGAAGTATGAAAATACAAGCTACTCTCGAATACGTAAAACGGTACAAGCAACGTATAGAAACCAAATTCAAGACAATTTGTTTATGTGCCATCCATATTATAATATCCCCTCTATATATAATTCACGAATGCGCTGAGCCTACGTGGCTGCTTCTGGTGCTTCGGAATCCTACTTGGCGAAAAATCATGCTTCGTAATTAGGTTTGGACAAATAATATTGATATATTAATAATTACTAATCTAGGTTCAGACATTCCATAAATATTATTTAGCTAACTTAGGTACTTTATTATCACTTGTACTAATATAATCCTTTAATTCTTTTGATTTGTTTCCTTCAATTGGCTATTGAATTATAAATGTATTTTAAAAGTTGATAACTTTTGTATTTCTTATCGGTTTTACATATATAACATAATATATCAAATTAATCATATTTTCATGATCTTTGATTTGACATTCATATTGCATATATAAAATAAATAAATTATATTCATCTTTATAATAATAAAAACTAATAATATTTATTAAATTTTATTAAAAAAATAAAATTATTTCTCAGTAGATATATTTATGTTTAATGTAGTTATATGCTGTAAGTTAAAAAAATTATTATAATATAAAACAAGTAAGTCACACAAAAAAAGTGTCATACTAAATATATAATGATATATATATTTTTATAAAAGGTATTTAAAATTTTACCTACTTTTTCTCATTAATTTTAGATTTTAAGGAAAAAATTAGCATGCACCCGTATAATATACGGGCGTTGTACTAGTCTTTATTTAAATCAGAATTGTCTCCATATATAACAAGCAAAAACATCTAAAGTACTTTGGGTATACATAATTTTCACAAGCAAGGATCACTAAGAAGCCTACGTTTGTAACTTTTCACAGACAAGTTCTGTAACTTTTAGCGTGATACGTAGTTGTACTGAGACTGAACATAATTTCTCGACAGAAAAAAATTTAGCTAGGCAATTGAAACATAATTTGAAATATAACATGTTTACTTACGAGTTACGACCTGGTAGCATTAGTGACGGTCAGCTAAACAATTTCTCGAGAGTATTGGGTCGTAGCTTGTCTTTTAGAGAAGTTTGACCGAGATGCCTAGTCAAACCCCCAATCACACGATCCATGTACAGTACGTATAGTGTATTCCTGGTCTCCAAGAGCTCCAATGCTTTTCGAGCACTGAAAACCGATACGATCCATTCTTCCAGAAGCTCTACGCAATTGTCAAATAACCTTAGCTAGTTACCATAGTTTACTTACATTGATTATTGATCTCCTTGCATATTGTAAGAAATAATGATGCCAGAGCAAGAAGACAACTGATGAAGATTTGAAGTATAAACGCATACTCGTATCAAAGTCTTGCCTAGTTGACCAAGAAAGTAAGCAGTCTGAAATCAGGAACTCGATAAGTTGAATCCTGCCAACAAACAACATAAATATTTCAAAACAACATGAATATATCCATGTGTCTAATTTTGTTCTTACAACATGATTAGCCTATCATGACCTGCCTTGCAAGATACTCAAAAGCAAGTCATCACGAAGTACTCAAAATCGATGAACATTAAAAAAATAATAATAATAATCGTCATGCTCATAATGTAACTCCTAGCAGAAAATGGATGCAAGGTAGACTAAAACTCACATTAGGTACATGCCATTATGCATTTTGAAGAAGGCACCATCAAATGGATCCATAACTAGTAAACTTTCTGCAACTATAGAAATTCTCTGAGAAACTGAAAGGATCAATCGCTGGCCAACATAAGGATCGGTCCCAAGCTTACGCAACAAGTGCTGAATATAAAACTGGAAATCGCAGTGATCTTGAACCAACTCTAGAAATAAGAGAAAACAATTGAAGAGGATTAGGGAAAATAATTCAGACGAAAAATAATTGCCAAATTCTTGATAAATAAAAAGAGAACTGAGCTTCAAACATACAAGCATATTTTGTTAGATTCTTGACAGTGGTAATGGAATATTCTCATTCTAAAAAGTAGTATGTGAAGAGAAAACATGATATACATCTCTGGAACATTCTTCGTCAAAAAAATATTTTCAAATTCCCAGCACTTGTTTTACTTTTAGATTTTAAATTTCATGGGATTTATACTTTTTGAAGCACATGCCCTGGTTACTTAAAAGCTAAGATTCTTCATGCCTTTCCTTGATCCAGAGACTCTAGTGAGCTTATTCATGTGTCATTAAACTGGCTATAACTTTTCTTGTCAGTGCAAATATGTTCCAACAAGAATTCCGCAAGTCCCTAGCCCTTGAAATTCCAAATCCAGGGACAGGACACACAGGTAGCATTACAATGACTTGTGGACCAAGCAACTCAAATGCAAGAAATGTTTGGCATATCACTTTCCCAACGTAGACCATCTACTTTGAACACTTCCTATGAGACATCATGTTAAATTTACTTCCAAGCTGAAGAAACTAGAAGCATTGTCCCAAAGATATCGTGGATGATGCTAGTTCCAAGTTTATCATAACTTAATATCCCTATGTACATAAACCATAATTAGCTATTATAGATGTTTGTAGAAGGAGTAGAGCCGTAGAAGGTTCAGAATATAGTGATGAAAACCATGAAAAAAGGTTTTAATTTTTTTAACCAATATAGTATTAGTGTATGACAGAAGAAAACATTTGTTGGTGAATCAATCAACAAACTAATTCCAGGACAAGATAGTAACAAAGATAAATATTGTATAGCAATGTGGGAATGATAATAGTAAATGGAAATACATAGAGACGCTTACCATCTCCTTGTGAACCATTGCACATCCTTCTCATTAGCCGGACTATTAAGCTACTTATTATACTTTCAACCATATCAACTTTCTTTCCACCAGATGAAAGAGTCTTCAATGTAGCTTCATGAAACCAGGAAAAACATTTTAGTCAAATGGACAGTCAGCTATACAATATGACACAGCAAAGAGTTTTTTTATGCCCCTCAATATCAGTCTGAGGAAGCAGCTTCCAGAGAATTAACTGAGGATAATACTCAAGACTCATTAGTAGCTGCAAATAAACTATTTAAAATCTCAATGTTAAAAAAATTCCTTACGATATTACACAGACTGCTTTTAGAGAAATTTCAAGGTATCTCAAATAAACGTCTAACTTCCTCAAACCTGTACCTATATTAGGTACTAGTTCAAGCAAGGGCAAGCTGATTTGAACTGACACAAAAAAAGAATTAAACTTTCAGAAGTATTTGAACTCCTACTTTACTGAATAAAATCATGTTGTCAAACAAGGAGCAGGATATTCAAGCCATCATCTAGATATAGTACCCAGAATAAAGTCAACAGCTTGATGCGACCAATTTCTGAAACTGCCTTCAGCTGCCTGCAAGACATACAATTCCAGAAAGAGCCAAGTAAGATAAGCAACTAAAAAATAAACTATACAACAACATAGCCTTTTAGTCCCAAACAAGTTGGGGTAGGCAAAAAACAAAATTGATGAAGCCTGGATGGTAGACAGGATATAGATACACACTCCATTAGGAGACGACTTCTCACAAAGCTCCACAAGAAAATCTACTGAAGCTCGCAGTTGCTCCATTCCATTTTCAATATCACTATCTGCACCTCCATTAATTCCAAAGATATAACTATTAGGACAGAAAGAGAACCATAATACACTTACCATATTCACTGGGAACTCACAAAACATAACATGGGAAGACAGAAGAACAAAAACACTCAGAATTATATTAAAAAGTTACAAATACTGAAATTTCTAACTGACTTAAATTATTTCTACTCATAATTCTTGGATATTCAAAGGGATATAAGACATTCTTGAATATATTTTTCTGCCAGTCAACCATCATACTTTTCCAACATGAAAGTTTTATTAGCTATTAAAGCTAATAGTCCCTTTTAGACAACACTTAAAACTGCATAAGATTGTTTGCTTGTTCTGAGCTTTCTACACTGTAGTTCTATGCTCTACCTACAGTTACAGAATCACCTAAAATGGATTCTAGTTTATATTACAGTTGTCAAAGGTCATCCTTAAAGTTCAATTAGAGCAAACCTTTCCATTGAACTGTCATTACAAAAGTGGAAAACTAACAACCATTTCAACTTGATATGTAGTAGAAAAATAGTTTCAGGTGCAACATCTCTATTACATAAAATAGAGTAAAAAAAAAAACAGTAAATTAAGAGATCCTGACATCCTATTTATTCATAACCTCCGTACTCACAATTTGTTCAATCTATAGCACAATAAAAACATGTATATCAAGAATTAAAATGATGTCTTCACCTGAAATGCAATATTGACCTACCGCGCCATCAAGCCTACTTCTCTTTCTCTCACTGAATCTAACTGCAAAATGGATCCACAAGCACTGTTTTACCACTTCCATAAACTAACAAGAAATGAAAATAGAAATTGCAAAAATAAGAAACGTGCTATCTCTAACAAAAAGTCAATTCTTCAATGTAATCATAGAAGCAAAAATTACAAAGAGAAAGAAACCTTGTCTGAGAAACCTACGACGAAGCACATCCCCAAATCTCTTTTGCTCAGACTCATGCTTAGGGCTCAGGTTTCCCAAATTATCAAAGAAATAGCATTTACATGATACACTCTGCGGAAATACATCATGATGCAGTCCATCTGATGTATGCAAATAGTAAAGCTCATTAACAAGATCATCAATTACAGATAACTCGACAACAGTGAATGTAATCACTCTCATAAATAAACTAGTGATCCTCTTTCAGGATTTATCTATTCTCTCACAATTTTCAAGCTCAGCTGATGCAGACTCATGCTTATTCCTTGACAGACAAATTCTCAACATCTAAACTCAAGTCCAACTATCGAATTTTCGAAACTTACAGACGCAAATACAGATAAGTACGAGCAAGAAGAAGACTTGCCTTCAGCAATCTTCAGATCTTCCTTAAGCCTAATAATTTCTTCTTTTCTCTGTTTGGCCTAAATTTTCACCCAAGTACGAATCAATTGAAATGTGCCATTGCAGTAGATCGCATCAACAGACTAAATCTCGAACGCACACTGATGAATAAAATCGGAAAAGAGAAAAGTTGAGAAGGAAACCTTTGTTTTCCATTTGATAGCATCTGATTCCGAGTGGTTGCCGCGGACTGCTTGGGAATCGCTGTCGCCGGCGGCTTCTGTAGTGGCTGAAGGAGGAGGAATCTTCCGGCGACGCCGGGATTCAACAATAGCCATCGCTACCGCCAGTTTGA